ATGAAAAATAGGATCAAATGCATTTCAAATAAACCAAATAAACATTAAGCTTTTGGTTTCTGGGCTGAGACCTAGAAAATTCAGGTCTCTATGCAAACCTTCCTAATCTCTGTACTCTGCCTACTTTATTTAAGCTTAAAAGTACCTTTGAGCTTGTTTAAAACTAGAAAATTTAAATTGAATCATTAAGGTAAAATTTCATTATTTCTTCTCCTCAGCTGAAGCTGTTTCTTTCACAGTCGTTGAGTCATCTGAAATCTGTCCAGCAGTTCCCCTGTTCTACTGGATAACGACCTCAGAGTGTTCACATCACTAGAAAATAAAGAACCAAGTACCTGTGAGTCCCACTACAGCCATAATACAATGGCCACTTCTCACTCCTGATATTGTCCTGGTCCTGGTCCCAAGTGTGCACAAGATCTCAGTAATCTCCTGACTTGCTGTGGCTAAATCCAACTGTTACATCACCAAACACATCCCAGGTGCACAGAAACAGGGGAGCAGAGGTGAGATGTGAGTTTTCTTTTAAACTGCCACTCAGCCATCCCATTTTTAATTTGCTTGTGCTGGAACTGCTTACAATGCTCACAATGCTAGACACAGATTTGCATAGCATTAAATAGCAAACAAGGGGTGGGATGCTGACCCTGCCTCAGTTGTACTAAATGTAAAGACCATTTCACTCTGTTATCAAATCAAGCAGTTTTGTTTAAGATGATGAAAGTTTTACCTAATCTGCCTTCAAAAATATTTTTTTTTCCTCTTAGAATAAAATCATAGAAATGTTAGGGTTGGAAGGGAGCTTAAATATAATCTACTTCCAACTTCCTATGCCACTTTTCACTAGACCAGTTTGCTGAGAGTCCCACCCAATTCAGTCTTGAAAATTTCCGAGGATGGGACAGCCTGTTCCAGTGCTCACCAACCTCATAGTGAAGAACTTCTTCCTAATGTCTAATGTAAACCTTCTGTCCTTAAACATAAGACTTGAATTGTTGTCTGAAGTCAGCAACTTTTTCATGTATAGCAGTTAAGACAGCAAATAAAAAATACTAAGAGTTTTAGGAGAAAGTAAAAACCCCAAAACATTAAGTTATACTACAATGGTTTAGCTCTTTTAATAGTAATATCTTGCATGTAGTCCTCTTCTTTCTATCCTAAAAGTAAACTCAAAAAAGTACAATAAAACATTACGCAGATGATCAACATCTTGATTAAGTTTTGATTAAATAAATTAGGATGCATAATTCTGTAAAAAAAATATTGAAAGGTATTTATGAAAGGTAACCATGACATCATGGACACATCTAAAAAAACTGAATATGGAGCAACCATTCATTCTCAAAGGATATCCTAAGGAAGGGGGACATTTTAAAAGAAAAAAAAGAGATAATTTTTTCACACCTGATTGACAAAAATATCACCATAAAGAATAAAGGACAAAAATACATATATAAGAATTACTTTATTGGAATTCCATGTAACCAAAAAAAAAAAAAAATGTTGCATCAAAACATTAGCTCAGAAACTCCCTGATCTGTAAGTTGATGGGCTGTGTGAGAATTATCAATGTTCCATTAATCTTTTCACAGATTTCAGGTATGCAAGCCACTGTCAGATGCAGGAATATATGATAGAATGTGTCTGGTAGCTTCTTGAAATGTCATCTATTAAAAGGAGGGGACAAATGTTGTGGCTGGAACAAAGGTAATGAGATGAAAATATGTGATTTGTGTCCCCTTTACTTGCGCTTTGCCAAACAGGCCTTGGAGAATGACTGTAAGAAAACATTTCTTCCATTTTTCTGGCACATGCTAATATCAAACTCTGATCAAAATTGCAGAGGAATTGCAGAGCTTTGTGGAATACTTGATCAATAAAATACTCAAAGCTGTTGTTACCCAAGGATTTGTCTTCTACTCTACTATATTTTATTTCAATATTAACAGTGAAATAAATAACGATTTCTAAAGCATGGGCAATGCATTGGAAATGTCAGAAAAAATTTAAATGCAACCAGCACTTTTTACTTTACCAAAGCACAGAGATTTTAGGTTGATTATAACAAGAAAAGCAGAAGTTGCACTCAAAAAATAGAAATTTGGAAAGCAGATACTGAAAATATATCTGAGATCATGGTTATTTTTCAAACTGACATACAAAGATCTCTGAGGCTTTTCTCAGCTATGGAAGCCAAGAAACCAGCTGAAGAGTATTTCACCATCACGCTGCTGCCCTCAGAGCAGGTTATATTTGAGATTTCACAGGTAAGCCAAAGGAGTAGCACTGCAGACTTAACATCTAAAAATGTCTGTGAGCCTACCTAAGCTCACTACTCCCAAACCTGCTAGAATAGATTGCCTGAAAAGGCTATGATTCTCCATGAATGAAGATTTTTATTTTATATTATGAGAAAAGTTGTCTTTTACTCACATTGCCATTTGGGGAGGGGCTGTAAAGCAATTTACAATCCCTTCTAAACCTATTTTTCTATGAACTAGTCTTATCTGTGATTTGCTGGCATCCACGAGTAGCCTTTTGTGAGACCCAGGCAAAGAAAAGGGAACTCATGCCCCATGTTTACAGCTTTTATCACCAGAAATACATTAGATATTAGGAATTCCTTTGAATGTCTAAAAAATTTTTGTAACATAAAAAGTGCTGTGGAAACCAATTTCTCAGCTGAAGTTTGAAAAATTCATGCCATGACTGTAATACATTTTCTTGTGTATCAGTGTGACTTGTGAAAAATGAAAAAGCCAAATCACACTAATTATGTCCAATAAACTTGGACTATGAAATATATTGCTGAACATTCTTTTGATTTTTTCTGATTAATTACAGTGTTTTTCTTTCAGAACAGTTACAAAATCTGCAAATTGAAACAAAGCACACCATTATGAATCTTGATGATCAAGACTGGATTAAATTTTTTACGGCAAAATGCTGAAATGGGCCTGGTTTATTTGTTGGTTATATTTCCCTAATGATGATGGAGATTTTTCTTTTCCCAATGTGTCTTTCACTACTAAAATCATAGGGATTTATAAAGGTCAGTTTTATGTAGTGCAAGGAAATAAAAAGATTTGATTTTATTTAATTATATTCCCATTGAATTCAAATTATGCTAAAACAGTTTCAATAAACTTTTCTGTTGTTTTCTGAAAACTGAATGCTAAAAAGGGGAGGAAAATAATATCTTTTTGTAACACCATAAGAAAAAATACACTAGAGAAGAAAAATAACCAATAGCAAATCTCATTTTCTGTTTTATAAATGATATAAAAAATATTAAAAGAAAAAAACCCAGAAATTTCTCATTATAATGCAAAATTACTACTTCTTCAATGTTTTAAGGCAACAAAAGTAAGTTCAAAAATTTATTTTATGTAGGAATTTTCAGCACTGTAAAACACTCATTAAAAAAAAAAAAAAAGGGTCTTATGTTGATAGTGGTTTATTTGATCAAATGACTTCCATAGTCTGATTAGACATTTTTGTGTAAATCGAGAAACAAGCAAAAATCTGGTTTTTTAATAAATTTTACATTAATTGCTTTTCATTTCCTTTGAGAGTACTCCTTTGTTTCTACTCTGCAAGAATAAATATCCAATTTGCCTATCTGTATTTTTATTATTTTGTGCAGCAGTACTGTTATCTCCCATTGTATACATAAAATAAATAGTCTCATTTTTTGTGAGTTGTGGAGTAATAACATTAAAACATTATTTGTTTCTATTTCAAAATGCCATGTAAGTACTTTCATATACTGACTTAGGACAGCTTAAATTTGTTTTAGCACAAGGTCAGAATTTTTAAAATTTTCTTTCCTCAAAGTAGCTTTCCATAACCATATGGTTCTACAACTCAAAAGACAGTAAATTCAGTAAAGAGACAGAGGAAAAAAATCAGCTCTGAAACTGAGTATTCAACACAATGAACCTAACTGGTGGAAGTTAATTGAAGCAGTATTCTTAATGTTGTTTGGTAGAAGTATTGTCTTCTTTAGAATTTTGGTATTATTCTTTAGAATTATTATTTCATTTTCTAGTATTTCAAAATCAGGGTGAACAAGCATTTTCACTAGGCATGATTTACTTAGTGAGAAAAGCAGCCCCATTTGCCTTTAAGTAGATATATTGGTTCTATTGCATGCTTCTCTTAAAAAAAAAAATTAAAATCCCAGAAATATTGATAAACCCTCTCAGCATTCACATTTTCAGTTCACCATAATTAAGTGTCCAAGTTCTCATTTTTCATTTGCTAAATAAAAGCATATTATATTTTTTCTTATTGTGCTTGCAGCAAAAAAAAAATTGAACACCAGAAGGGCTTGCAGGTGCATATTATACATTTGACAAAGTCTAACTAGACAGAAGAAGAAACTAGAAATTTTATTGATTCTCTATGGAATGGAAAGACTGTTACTACACTGGAAGGTTTTGCTTTTCCACAAAACAAATGCAACAAAGGAAATCCAACACATAAGAAATGTATATATCAAAACAATATATAATAAAAAATTTATCATTTCAGAACTAAACCATATGCCATCCTACTGCTTATAATGGAAAGAAACACGTTAGGTACTTTAAAAAAGACAATTAATGAGAAATAAATCCACATGTGTAAAATTATTAATCAATTTTTCCCTACTGTATATCCTTTCTCTGCTTGAATTTGGGTTCAAAACCAAGAAGAGGCTCCCAAAATATTCAGAAGTGTTTCTTTTCCTTTAATAAAGCAAACACCAGAATTCATCAGAGTAGTGAATTTAATATCAACTTTAACATCTCTAGTGTATTTCCCAGAGATGCACTTTCTCATGGTAAAGGTTTCACTAAGCTAAGGCACAGTGTCAGTGGAAAAAGAGGAGTAGCACGACTCTTATGTTGGAAGCCTAAGATACAAACACATGGGAGGCTGAGGATCAAGTTCTTATCCTGCTCAATTCAAAACAATTCAAAACCCCTCACATTCAAGGGGACAAGAGCACTCACCTCACACTGAAGGTCCTGTATTTGCCCTGAATACCAATATAATATCGTACTTCACAAAGGCTTCTGTTTTCCTTCCAGCAGAGAACAAAAGCAAATGTTAGAATCTCAGAAGTCACCATGTAACAGAATAGTCACCGTGCCATCAGCTGCATAGGGAACAGATTTTCAAAGTCAAAAATTGGGACACCTTATGCCGTCTCCTTTTATAGTGATGAAACTCTTATGTGCTTGGTCTTCTGCCTCTTTGAGTTGGTGTAGGAAATCTCCTTCACAGCAGTAAAGGCATCAAAGAAAGTCTCAGTTCTACTACTTTTCTCTTGGGAATAGTCATTTATAAAAGCATAAAAAGTATTTTTATGCTATAGCACAAGTAGCATTATCAAACCCAAGAGTTTAGGAAACCAGTTTGTAAGCTAAACTTTGTCCTCTGTCTGTTGTTCTGTCATGATTCCTGTGGAACAGAATTTCTTGTATCATTTTGTCATATCACATTTTTCATAAGCCCCAAACACGATTTTGAACTTCATTATAGTTGAATTTCTGCATTATTTAAATTATAATAAATGTAAGAAAGTCAAAATATGTTTAAGTTCAAAGTTGTAAATTTATGTGAATTTTCTTTTTTAAAGCCAAGAAATAACAAAATATAAAAAGAAAAAAGGCATTGAAATGCCACACATTAACTTGTTTTTAGAATTGGAGAACATACTGCAGTTCATGCTGGTATGTTTATAGACTTTTCTGTAAAACTCAGTGGCATCTGCTGAGTTCTTGTAAGGATTTTGAAATCTACACTCAACAATATTTTTATCTTTAATAACACCTTTTTTGCACAGAATCTATATATACCTCCATCATCTATACATACAAATTCACATACATATATAAGGTCAATTGCCTAAAAATTGTTCTTTTTTGCAAGATATTTTGAGAAAGTCCATCAGATCAGTTGTAAATGCAATTACAAAGCAATGAGATATTTATTTTGATAGATTTTATAATATTTATGAGGGATTATATCATTTGAGAGAAAAATAATGTTTGAAAAACTATGAATATTTTCCTGCCTATTCTAGGAAAGTAATAAAAGTTAACTACATTTTAAAATAGTGTTTTGCAATTCAGAGTTCTCTTGGACAGTTTTGAATATGAGTTGATTTTTGCCTAAAATTTAATGAGGTGTATATATACAAGGCAACTTTATGGCCTTTTGCTTCTGTAACACCTAGCTTTAGTACTTCATTCTCATAATTGTTTATTAATATTACACTTGTTTAACCTAAATGCATATCTCACTGCTCATGCCATATTCACACAAGTGAGATTAAGTTCTTTGAGTCTTTCATCCCTGGAGGTATAGACTTAGGGACATGGCGCTTAGGGACGTGGTTTAGAGGTAGAGTTGGCAGTGTTAGTAGAATGATTGAACTTGACAGTCTTAAGGGCCTTTTACAGCCCTAATGATTCTATAGTTCTATGATCCTGTGAGCAAACTCACCTCATATTAAGAAAGAAAGGGAATGAAATAAATGTGAAGCCTTCAAACTTCTACAGTTATCACCCAACTTCTTTTAAAAATATAAAAAATTTAATGAGTTTTCACACTTTCTGCAGAAGACCCAGAAAAGTCTAATGCTATGGCAACTAAATTGCTGTATAAAACTTATTTTGATGCTGTTGATGCTGCACTTATTTATTCCTTATATTGAATTACTACATGAAGACTTATACCATGATGTAACTGTGTGCATCTATAGTGAAGAAATCAAAACACTGATTATGTCTCATCCTCAAAACACTTCTTATGTCTGATTTTACTCATGGAAGGTAAAAAGATAACATCACCTTTATCTACAGTAGTTGAAGAAATCTTCTGAAGAAGAGGATTCTGACAAGCAGGGAAATTCTTGTGATTGTTAGAATTATAACATTTAATTGAAACAGAAGTTCAGATCGGGAGTTATTCTATACCAGCATCTGGAAATGCACTGACTTTTGTTTACCTGAATCTAAAGTCATAAAATACAGCAAAGTATCTAAAAGTGGCAAAAGAATAAGAAAGAGATGGGTTAAAAAGAAACTTAGTAAAAGCAACAAAAACTAAGTATCAAATTCTAGTATCAAACACATGGAAAAGAAATGGACCTGAAAATCTCTGTCTTCTACAGAAATTAAGAATTTCTTAGAGAAGTATAGAAATGGATATAATTGTATTTTAGGTTAGGTAGATTATCACAGAAGAAACAGAAATATTTGATTTCAGAACCTTCAAAATAATAAACAAATCTGTGAGAACTCCAATCTCAAGACCAGATAAAAGGTGCATAGAGTGAGTGAATATTCATATATATTAAAATAATTGTAAAGATTCACATGTCTATCAGCTAAACATGTGCAAAGTAGGGGCATTATTTTGAACTCACTGGATCTATGACAACTTGCATCAGATGTTGTCTTTCCCAAACCTTTGTTATATGTGAGGGAGCCCTGCTTTCCTGGGGATAGCTGAACACCTGCCTGCTGATAGGAAGCGGTGAATGAATTCCTTGTTTTGTTTTGTTTCCATGCAAAGGTTTTGCATTTAAACTGTCAGCCCATTGATTTTTCTCACTTTTCTCACTTCTCACCTTCTGATTTTCTCCCTCGTCCCAGTGGGGGGGATGAGTGGGCAGTTTTGTGGGGCTTAGTTGCAGACAGGGGTTAAACCACAACAATATATTGATTTGCATATCTTCCATTCTTCTTCCCAAGACTTCAAAATAATCAAAGCAGACTAAAATATTTTCTTATTTTTAGTCCTTCAAGTACTTCAGAAGACAGAGTAGGGAGCACTATGAGGATGAGGCAGGAGATAGGTGCATTACCTGTGAGTAAAGGAGGAAATTTCTGTGGAGCAGCAGAGCATAGGACCATTTGCTTGTTTATTTTTAACATGTTAGAAGGTATTGGTTTCAAATTGACTAAATCTTTCTTTGTTCATGGATCATTGACTGGGTAGATTGTAACAGCTCCTTTGGAACCATTGTGGTACATCATTTCAGTACAACCATTGCGAGTGTGTGTGCAGCCTCTCTGTTCCAACCCCACCAAAAATGTCATTGAAATCATTGCCTGTGCGCAAAGCATATTGTTTTTAAACTTTCATCTAATAGTTACTTATATTATTAAGTATCATAAGCAGTTAGAACATGCTGTAAATGAACTGGTAAAAATATATGTTCTGAAAACTAAAACAATGGTATAATTTAAAAAAAAATCCCTCTACAAGTAAAAAAAAAAAAAAACCATATAGAAACATTTTTAAAATCTTATTAAATAAAAAATAATAATTGAAAACAAAATGTTACCAAGGTAGAAACACAGCCTCAGACTACAGGGTTTGCCAGGATTTGTGGGTACGGTGCTGGTTGTCGTTAGCATGCTGAGCCTCCTATAGCTCTGTAGTGTTTCCTAAACCTGCAAATAAAGTCATGATCAGGTTCAACAGAGGAAGCTTAAAGTACATGAGAGAGGCCTTGGAGTTAATAAGCATTTGGGAAATCTTAAGAAGGGAACCAAACAGTATTTCAGGTAGAAATAATGCCCCACATGAAAGCAGTGAACGTTGTCCTGCAAAAAAGATATTTCTGTCTAAAATAGGGAAACAATATGTGTAAATAATATTGCATGTAATTTCCAATTTCAGATTTTAGGTTTCTCTTTTAAAACATCTATTTCAGCAAAACTTTCTAAGGGAAGCTGGTCTGAGTTATATCACAGTCTAGCAAACTTTCTGTTTTGTGAATATCATGGTTTCCAAAATCAATGGATTTCAGATTTTTCCATGGATTCTAAAAATCAATTACAGTGCAGAATTTTAATTAATATTCTCAAGTGTCAGCGTGTGTTATTTTATGGTCCTTTCATTGTTATTGGGTTCAAATTTTTTCTCCCCTTGTAATAAAACAGAGGTGAAGGAAAGAGCATTAAACAGCAGAAAATATATGGTAATTGTCCTGTCCTGCATGTGTTGATTCTTCATCTTCAGGTAGCACTTCCACACAGGTATAAGACAGCCACAACATCTTTGGGCAACCTGTTCCAGCATATCACCACCTTCACAGTAAAGAATTTCCTAATGTTTAGTCTAAACCTACTTTGTTTCTCTTTCCCCTTTTCTTATTACTACATGCCTTTGTAAAAAGTCCCTGTCCAGCTTTCTTGTCATCTCTGTTTAAGTACTGAAAGGCCTCAATTAGGTCACCCCAAAGTCTTTTCTTCTCCGGGCTGAATAACCCCACCTCTATCAGCCTTTCCTCACTCCAGCCCTCCTATCTTTGTTGCCCTGCTATGGAGTTGCTCTAAAATGTCCATGTTCTTCTTATATTGTGTGCGCCAGAAGTGGATGCAGTACTGCAGGTGGGGTCACACCACAGTGGAGTAGAGGGACATAATCACCTCCCTCAGCCTGCTGGCCATGATGCCTTTGATGCAGCCCAGGATGCATTTGGCTTTCTGAACAACAAGTGCACATTGCTGCCTCATGTTGAGCTTCTCATGAACCAACATATCCAAGTCTTTCTCCTCAGAGCTTCTGCAAATTCATTCTCCACCCAGCCTGCAGCTGTTTTTGGAATTTCCCTAATCTACATGCGCTTGATTTTGTTGAACTTCATCAAGTTCACACAAGCCTGTCTCTCTCAAGGCTTCCAAAATCCCTCTGGATGATATTCCTTTCCTCTGGAGTGTCAACCACACCACGCAGCTGGGCACAGTTGGCAATTACTCTCCCACCGTCCATGCCACCAACAAAGACAACAGAAAGTGCCAGTCCCAAAGCCAGCCCCCGAAGAAGGAGGCTTTTCACTTATCTCTACTTGGACATCAAACCATTGACTTCAAGCCTTTGAGTGTGACCTTCCAGCCAGCTCCTTAAGACTGACTGAATTGTCTTCAATAAGGCTGAAATAGAGATTTAGGGAAAAATATATGATTTTGAATTCCACAACTTTTGATAAACAAAGTATCTCACCCAAAACACAATTCAAATTCTACTTTGAAATAGTTCATAATTTTCATCAGCTCCCTTCTCTTTTTCTAACCCATAAGAATTGACTTTGTGTTGTGTTTCTGAACTGCATCTTTACAAGAGAATAATGTATTTTATACTGATTAGAAAAAATCACATAACAGAATGAAAGCTGAGGCAAAAACCAGCAAGTCGCATAAGTGTTGTATGACCTCTCTGCTTGCTCTCTTCCTCTTGAACTTCCAAGCCCTGCAGTCTTTTACCCATTGGACTCATATTCAAAAGGGTTAACAGTGTACAAAATTTTATGCTCCAAAAAAAACCCCAAAAACTAAAACTGCCGGGCTTTTACTTGTCTAGAATTTAGAACATCATAAATGTGGCTGCATTTCTGAAGC